AGCCCAGCTGCCGCATTACTGCCCTGTAATACTGCCCGACCGGCGGACTGACGCCGGATAGCCGAGCGCGTCCAAAAATATTATTCCCTTGATCCCCTCGACCCTGGCAAATTATCATTTTCGTAATGGAAAAGAAGCGGACTCGGTTGAAAAATTTCCGCGACAAAACCGCAGAATTTTTTCATAATCGTACTAACGAAAGAAAGAAGTAGTTGGACTGGTTACATTGCATTAAGAATAGCAGGGAATAGGCACGAGGAGGCTTGGTCCGTTCTTCAAGGAAAAAGTTCGTTTGCCTCTTGTTAATCCAATCTTCGATGTTACGTCGATGAAATTAATACCGAGCTATCGATATCTCACGTTCACGACGCGACACTTTTAAGTTTGTCTCCTCGCAGAGCTTGACCTTTTTACCCATCCGTCATTAGTCTGATAAAACGCATCCCTGGGAACAATTAAAGGATTGCCTGAATATACGATAGGTATATCTAAACACTTTTGCCTTCCATCGTGAAAGCATGCGAATATTTCGATGCTGCGTATCTGTATAACAACCTTGCTTTGTCTTCTATTTATCCTGTACAAATTTACGGACCCCTTTGGGAACCGTAACAATTATAGACACTTTGCTGCCTGTGTTCCTTTCGCTATAGTACTTTCTTGTTCCTTTGACCAGCGTGTCTCGTACAAAACGAGGAGGTATATACCTCTGGTAATTGTAAATAATAGAAATCGAAGGATAGTCTGAAAATGTTCTTTTCTCTTCCTTTGCCCTCTTAATAATCATTCATATCTAGATTCTTGAAAAATCAAACGAATCTCGAGGGATTATTTTGCAAGTACAACATTCATCGCCTTAATCGTTCGAATTTGATGCGTAGGAGGAGGGGAGGGGTTGTCCTACGGGACACCGATTGGTATTTGCGCGTTGAAATATCGGCGAATCGTCGGTGAATCGGCGGCGGAACGCGTGTCCGTCGAAAGAGTGGCGTTGGAAGGGGTTGGAAAACCCACCCCCAGCTTTCCACCACCAACGCCGCCGACCCAGTCCTGCCTGTGGTATAAAGTGGTCGCATGCTTGCAAGCTCAGTCACTCTGCCGCTGAAGCACCGATCCTCCCAGTTGCTCGCGAAAAACACCAGACAACCCTTGGATCGCATCTTCTTCTTCAAGGTATTCAACTTCCAAGAGGTATTTCAATTTATTTCTACTACTCTTCTCTGAAAAAGTCAACCGTCCAATACTTTCCCTGGATTTCTCAATTGCTCCATTTCTTTTATACAATTTCAAATCGATTTCAATTGTAGCGCTGTTGCTTTTTCAAGCTGCTATTATTCCTAGAATTTATTATTCAGAAAGTCGCGAAAGGAACAGTCGAACGAACCGTGCTTCCATGGAAAATCGTACACGGAACATTTTACGTAACTTATTCACGATTGCAATTTATACAAAAACAATTCTGTTTGCATTCGCTGATTCGCGACTGACACAGTGATGCCTGTGGCAGTTGAATGGAAATTTATCGTCGAATGTTCGTTTCTTTTGTGTAATGATTCATTCAGAAAATTATGAACATTCCCCGTTTACAATTTGCACGATCCTTCCGCTTCGCTTCGTAATCCTCCACAGAAGTAGATAATTCCATTGTTTCTTATTCAAAGAGCGATGAATATTTCTGAAAACCCGAAAATTTCAAACTTTCCAACACTACAGTTCGACAAATTGCGTTGAAGCCTTGAAGGACAGTATACTATAAAAGTAGAATAGAACAGCAACTTGTTCCCCTAAATCAGGCATCAAAGAGCCGAGGAACCTGTTGCCGAAGGAAGCGCGCAATTACTCGTCATTGTCTCTTTCCCCGGTCCAGAAAACAAATGGCTCTCAGCAATGTTTCTTAACGCGTTGCAACCAGCGCGTAATTATCGAGCCCATTCAGTTTCCCTTATTTCGTTTGCGTTTTTCATTGGATTTACTATATTCCGACTAGAACGTTTAAACGATATACATCTGTACATAAATATGTAGAGAATAAGGTGCAAGAAATGCATGTTTGTGTGTATTTCGTTGAATTGACGAAACGTCTGACTATTTCCGTAGTTGTTCCAATATTTAATTAATTGCGGCTTCGTGTCACCATACTTCTCACCTGGCATCGGCAGTATTTTCAACAGCGCGCGTCGCTCCGTGGAATCCTCTCGGATGAATTGTCGTTCTGTCAACGACAGCTACATAAAGTGGTTGTCCGTGTTCATCAAGCAAAATTGTCTCCCGTGTCAGACCCAACCAAATAAAACCAACCGACCGCGACGTAGCTTTCGTGGTTAGCCTATTTTCCCACCGATCAAAATATTTCATGGCCAATCAATTTCATTCTCCTTCCTGAAGCTAATCATGGTCCAGTGAAGTCTAACTTCCTCGATCATTCTTACCTGTCGCAATAGTTAAGCACAAATAAAAACCCGAAATAAATGAATTTAGAACGGACAATATTATGCAAAGTAAGTTCGGTTAAATAAACGTTGATGAATAAATCGCTCGAAATTATTTTCCACTTCAAACGAATTCGACCACGTTTTACCAAAAGTTATTTTCGCAATAAAATCTCGAGAGATTTTTACGCGCTATAGTCATTGCAGATAGATAGATAGAGAGTCCGTAATACGAAAATTGTCAATTTTTGTGGTAGATATAAATTCACGCTCGAGAGGAAAGACGCTGCCTCGATGTCGCAAAATTCTTGAATCTTATTTATCTCGTTGAACTGAGAAAAAAGAGTATCGGGATAACGAGTGGTGTATCCAGGCTCCATTTGACGCTGCCCGTCGCAGAGGCTGCATAATTTGAAGGAAATCTACCGCGCGATTTAATTTCGTTGCCTCTATTTTTATACGCGTTTCCACGACTGTCGAGAAGTACGTATAGTTAATCTTGGTACCCTAAATCTTCCCTCCTTTATCGAGTCTTCTACATCGCTGAAGATATGCAATAGTTCGATTTGTTGGAACGTAATCAACACACGAAGCCGGCGTTAGATACTTTTACAGCTTCCTATAGAGGAGATAGGAAGGATCGTTACTTACTATCGTAATTTGTTTACCAAAAAGTGTTTATCGCGCGTATAGGTTAAGTGTGTCTTCTCTGCAACAAAAGTACCATTCTACGCGATTATTTTAAACGTGATCGTTAATATGTAATCGTGTTCGATTTAGTGGTTCTTTAACAACGTATTTCCCCATCAATTAGCAAGATTAACGGGCGTTCTATTGCAGGAAATAGCATGTCGTCGCTACGGATCGCCGTATTTATGGCCGTGGTCCTGATGGTTTTCGTTGACTGGTCGACAGCCCTTCCGGCCGCCGACAAGGAGCGACTCTTAAACGAGGTAGACGTAAGTAAATAAAATAACCCTTATCGCATGAGAAGAACAAATGGCTCGACGCATTAGTCAGTCGTGCTTGTTAATTTCGTTGCAAAATAGCGGCGGTGTGTAAATGAAGAAGAAGGAGTGTATCGTTTCTAATGAACTGACGTCCCCGTGACGGCTAAGAGAATCGTGACTCTCGACAACCGATGATAAATATGCCTCGTTACCCTCTCACCTTGTCTTACCTTCGATTTTATTCCAGAGAGAGAGTAACGCTCGCCTTGAACTCGTTTCGATCGAAAAAAGAATGGAATTGAAATGAATCTTTTCACGTAGGACGTCAAGTGCCCTTGCACGTACACGATACTCGTTGTTTTTTATACTTTTTTCAACGTACTTCTCGCTCTTTTGCTATTCTTTTCTTAATAACGTCATCATGCTGATCGATAAACCACGTTTTGGTCGCCCAACCGCAGGTTAAAACTGTCCCGTAACCAAAACCGCAGCGCAGTATCTCCAAAAGAATTCCCCTACGGCGATTAATTAGTCAATTGAACTTTTCCATCGTGATTATTCTCTCGGAGAAACACTCTATTATTTCGACAATTTCTTTGCTTTCGAACTCGACATCTAGCCGACAATTTATTTTGTATTTCTGTCACGCGCATGGAAGCAATTGGAAAACGATTTCACCGCCAACTTGTCTCTCGCACTGGAGAAACGTTACTTTTTAATATGGACGCATCGTCGCATTACTATGCCAAGTGTATTACCCTATTCACGCCGTTCAATTCTGTCCTCCTGAAAAACATCGACGATCCCTTGATCGAACGAGGGTCGCCAGTTTCTACCCGACCGCATTCACGAGTTTCTAAAGAATTGCTAAAATTGTAAGTGCTCTCTTCGAACGTTGCACCTCCACTATGAACACTGCTTTCGAACTTTCTCAAATTCGACCAGCCTCGAGAATCCTAAATAATTCCTTATTTGAAAACAGAATCGGTTATTTCCAAGTTGAAATCCGCAGAGGGTTGTGCTGCTTTATACCGAGAAGAGTACGAACTAGAATGCAATTCCGTAACTTATTCTTGTGACGTATGTTGTAATCGCGAGAGAAGTAAGGTGTGCAGAATGAAAAGGACTAGAGGCACTTAGATATTGCAGAAAGCGGTTGTTGAGGCTTGTAAAGGAAGGCAGGTAACCTGTTGCTCGACTTCTGTTTCGCTTTGAGTGTCGCTGCCCCGCGAATTCAATTGATCCGCCACTTCTTTGCTCGATATCGAGTTAGACTTGGCCCCGGGCCTCAGCAAACTAATCAGGATTAGCGGGAGTAAACGATGGCCAATACCTTGCTGAACGTAGAACCGACGCGAGGATGGAAATCTCGTTTGCTTTTCGAGCCAACTAATTTCTCCTGGAGTTTCCAAACTTTACAGTTGTTCCAACTTTCGTGTTACGTTTCCAGCCTCGTGACTCGTGACCGACACGAAAATGCCGAATCACCACGATGGTGAAAAGTTGAAAAGTAATTTAATTGTCGCGTACCAAGTTCTCTGTGGTCCGTGTAATCCTAAATAGTTCGCTGCTGAAACATAATCGCATGTAGCGAAGAAGCAGAGGTTCGTTGTTAATTGAACTTGGAACGGGAGGAGATCGAAGCAAATTCCCGCGTTAATGTTGCCGCAGAGGCTTGAGCACGCGCGACACTAACTGCGCAATTAACGCTGCCTCTAATAATCCATAGATACGGGTTTAATCGCGCGCATCCTCAGCGCACGATCAAAGACAAAGGAACCGCTTGTTGCGATATGCTCGAGTATAGTTGCGAGCCGTTGTGCTCTATTGCACCGAAATCTGCATCAAGGAGTAGACAGAGATATACATATGAATGTATGTATGTATGTACATATGTGGTAATTATTAATGGTACCGCACTGCCATTCGGCGGAGTAACTGTTATCGCGAAGAAAGATCCCAGTAAAATGGTTTATTTATGGTACACTTCGTATTCGCGTATAAACTTGTACACGGAAAAGTTCTCTGTAGTTCGTAATTGACGCTTCGTCGCGAGCAAACGTACCAACGTCCTGTAAGCCCGTCTTATAATCCCGTCGCGATCGCCTTAGAATTTACGATTTAATAATAGCAACTTCACGTTTAACCTTTCCCTCTTCCCTATCCATCGCGATGGATAAACGATCAGGTGAGTTTTATAGACATCTGGGTTTCGAACGGCCATTTCGAAACGACTTTGAAATTGTTAAAAAAAAAAACAATATCGTTTAAATTAATTATCGGAGAGAGGGAGAGGTATGCATGACTTTTGCTGAACGTTTTCGAACGATCGTCCGCTGTTGAAGAATTTAGTACACCGTTGACGGATACCGTTTCAAAGCGACAAATTAAATTTTTCTTCTCTTCCGAGATGAAGAGTGTCGTTAGAGCAGAAATGAGAAAAGACGAATGTCTTTTGCAAGCAGATTACAAGGCAAATTGCCAACATAACGAAATTACGCTCACCTTTTTCTTCTCTCCTCTCGTTTGAGTTTACGAGTATGGCTCGAGGAAATTGTTACTTATAACAGGTACCAGATTATATTATTCTCAGTCTCCGTCAACCAACCGTACGCGATTGTTTAACCTCCGTGAGTTTACGTAAATGTCGAAAGACTTGCATACAATCTCTCTTACGGTACTTCCTTTAACGATATCGTATATCAGAGTTAATTATTCGCTGCTTTAATCCTGTATAAGGTGAAACACGTTAAAATATTACGCATAGTAATATGATTTTATGAAGATTTAGATATATAGTCGGGGCCACGATATAGCGAGGTCGTAAAATCGGTCAGACGTCAAAGTAAACATGTTTTAGCTGCCGGGACCCGAAAATTGACAGAGATACGAGCAGATAAGTACTTGAAACCATGGTCAGGACCGTACAAAGAATTCTTGTATCCAGCGAAAGTCAACTGATTCTAATATATTTACTGAAAACTGCATGCAGCTAGGACAAATTAGGGTTTCTCCCTCTGGGGGAAGCCGCTTTTGGAAGTACGGTTACAGGTAAAGGTCTTATTGATGTCTTTAGCATCTTAGTTTATCTACTCGTGTTATATACAGATAGAAAGTGCAAAAAGATTGTGTAGCTTAATATTAACATATTTTCCATTTGTAAATGAAATACCATTTTCTACTTGAAGTACCAAATCATATGCTACCATTCGTTTATTGTTGGAACCCTCAAACAGACTGCAACACACGGCCTTGAGTGCCGCAACATCAATCGATGCCGATTCTTGAGAGTTTAATTTACGACCTCGCTATATCGTGGCCCCAACTATACATCGCTTGTGCTTTATTTTCAAATAATTATTCGTTTCGTTCCTCCTCAGTTTCAAGTGAAATCTGCCTTTGCACACACCGGTTGTGCTTTATTTTCAAATCGGGCTAGAACTTTTGCAATCATCCGATACATTTTATTCGCATAAGAGCCGCAGCACTCGCCTGCGAGAGTCCACCCTTGCTCTAGACCAGGGGAACCTTTCGGGGAAACAACGTAGAAGAAATGAAATTTAGAGAGCCGCAATTTTAATTTTAAATTTAAGAATCGCGTCGAAACATTTACTTTACCGACGCGTTATAGTTATTTTTCGGGGGGTTACTGTCGGTTCTGTGGCGGCAACAGCAGGATTTAAGAGCCTCATGCGGCTCCTCTAGAAACGTTCTAAAAACGAGTGGTAAGGGTCTTCTCGGTCCCAAAGATGCAAGGTCTACCCTGTACGTCGTCTGTGGTATAAGGATTGGCTAGAATTATGCGTTTTCACTCATTACAAGACCACAGGACGCGTACTTTGGCCAACGACGCTTAGACCACGTGATTGTAGTCTTGTAGAAATACATATGTAAGTACTTACTTATGTACTAAAGCTGGAAAGATGCGCGCGAGACGGCACAGTGGCAAGGGGAGTAAGCCGCTTGCTCAACCTTTGAGCTCACCGTCACGCGATGAAGTAGTAGATGTGACCGTATACATATGTATATACCGTAATAATAAAAATTCGTGTGATCCGACTTTATGAGTGCGTCCGCTACATCCAATGAGACCCGCATTCCTTCCACGTGCAATCTTTCCAACTCTGCATAATATATTTGCGAGAATCTAGAAACGATTGAATAATTTTGCGAGCATTTTGCACGAGGTACGGACTTAACGAGAGTTTCGACTCCAAACTGTTATAGTAATTGTAGACAAATTTTCAATAATATTCAATAACAATAATGTAAAAAATATGGGGCCCGCGAATAGGCTGGGCGTAGAATTGATAAAGCCCTGTTAATTCCTCACAAATATATTCTATAGAATACAATGTTGACTCGAACACCTGGGAAAGTCCATCCGTCGTTGCCGACGAAAATTCCTTAAGGGCCTTGGGGGTTGATTTACGACTGGTCTGGTTGGGTCACGCGGTTGCTTTCGTCGAACGGCAAATTTTCCAACAATAACGACTATATTCAACTCAACAATAGCAACAATGTCTCTATGCTCTATAACCTTATAACTATAACTCTAACACTAGCTCTCAATTCTCAATTGAATAGAGAACACTGTACTCTCGCTCTCGACTCTTGTTCTTCCACTATTTCTCGCGCGTCTCGCCGGTCTAAAACGGTCACTCTCGGTCACCACCCAAATCTTTGGGTGGCTACGCACTCTTCGTTCACCCGATACTCTCGTGCTTTCGTTCCAAACATTTTTCATTCATACCTCTATCGCTCCAGGTCAAGTATTCTTCGTTCACGCAGATGTCGCTCTTATAGGCTAAACGTGCATACGAAAATCCGAACGCACGTCTATTTCTCAGGTCCATACTCCAAACACTCGGTTAAATATTTATAATCTATTATCTAGCATTTCCACATTATTCTCCAAGTATTTATAACTGTCTCAGAAAATTGCAGTGCACCGTTCCAATATAATAAGATCGAAGATGCTTATTAGATCAGGACATGTCGCGTCGGGTCGTATGAAATGCACTTGCGTAACTCTTGTCCGCATGCTTGAATTGCAAATAGGCTGTATCGTGTATCGTGTACGTAGAGGTTCGTTCGTTTAAGCATTTAAACAGCCCAAGGAATTTACCGTAACTCGATATTAGCATACATGTGTTACGGGGAAATGGGTATCGGAAAATAGAATTTATTCCTATTTCCAGGAAGATGAACGTCTTGCGTAAGAGATTCGAACTTTTCTTATCTGATTTTCTTCTTTAAAAATACTTCTCTCGTGCATATTATCGGTGGGAATTAACACGAGAAGTTTCCATAGATCCTTCTTCGAGGATGATTGGGCAAAAGTGATTGTGCGTGCAAAGCGGAAGGATATTAAAAATCGGTTACCGTCGCGACGACTAATCTTGCAGATTGCTCACACAAAGCCGGATATCACGGCAATTTCTCGCGGTCCGCATGAAGGAGAAAGACGATAAAGAGCGGCGGTGGCGGCGGTTCGCCAAGCTCGGAAGGCTGATTTTGCGGCTGATCCGATAATCGATAGCTCGGCGACGACAATCCGATTTCAGTTACCGTCCGGTTGTCCGTCACTCGTGCTGATTTCACGACTTTATAAACGTCAGACCAATTTCTCTTTTAACTTTTAGACACGTCTCTCCTTCCTCCACTTGTTTTCGCAAACATTTGTGAAACACTTCAGTGTACAACTATTATTAATTACTGGCTTCTTATTTCTTTATTTATTTCTTACGAAGTATGTGCTTATTTCTATGCATGCGTTCGAATTAGCTTGTTGCATCGCTTTTCGCGTGCGTTTGCCAAATGCGATGGGAAAAGAGCTGGATAAAAAGTCGGGGGAAAAAATGGCGCTACGTAGGAGCGCGCATCGCGCGTATTTTTTAAACGATTCTCTCGGTATTTTCGAGGCTCTTTTGAGCGTAAACAAGTATTATAATCCATTAGCGCGTCTTTTTGCGCTGTTAATACGAGGGATCGCAGGAGGGGAAAAGCTCGATACTCGAACAAAGTCGAAGAAATAGAATTTTCTCTCGATGCGTGCTACTCCGCCTTTACGGCCAATGAAATTTGTTTCAATTATTCGAACGACCCGTGCAGTTAATGTTTATCGAACCGTGAGCACGTTCGTTTTTTCCAACAATTAAGGTTAACGATACGATAAAATCCGACGTCTTTCTCACATGGAATTTTTCGATGTTATGCTTGCATAAAGTGTAATCGGTTTACCAGAGATATCGAAGCGTCTGTTTCAGCTCGTGGACGACGACGGCAGCATCGAGACCGCTCTGATCAATTACCTGTTCACGAAGCAGGTCGTAAAACGACTTCGAAACCAGCTGGACATTGGCGATCTTCAGCGTAAGCGCAGCTACTGGAAACAGTGCGCCTTCAACGCTGTCTCCTGCTTTGGCAAATAAATCGTCCAGCTAGCCCGAGGACCGCCATCGTGCTTCCTTCCTCTCCTTCCTTTAACTCTCTTTCGCTCTCTGTCTATTCTTTGTCCGGTGCTAGCTTTTAAACTTAATCAAGTCTAGCTCGATCAACATAAACCTGGCTCTTGCTGCGAACTTTGCGTCCGTTACATGTTCCTTGGAGGCCTTTGATTACGAGTGGAATTTCTAACTATGCCAAGTTTTCCTTCTGTCAAAATTTCAATACTAACGGTCGAAATGGAACACGATCAGCGGATGTAAATTAGCACGGAGCCACTTTCCGCAATACATTGTACTCGATATTAAGGAAGAATCTTCGTAGATGCGTTTTCACGACTAACCGTGGACCAGGAGCCACCTCGCATTTTTGTTCTTGGTAATAAATTCATTTAACGGTTATTCGACAATGGTGTAAAACATTCTTCCCTGTACATCGGAATTTACGTACTCGAACACGTGGTGGCTGTAGTCAGTGAAGAGCATTCAATAAAGAATTTGTTTCTGTGGTACGCAATCGCTTAGCTGGTTAAACAGAGAGTAATAAAACGAGCCACGTTCGCTGTTAATAATCCTTTTATTCCGAATATACTACATGTAGAAATCATGATTACAATTTCATCAAAATGTACAATTTCCTTCGAGTGTTTGAAATGTCTGGTGCTTGATGAACGGAATGCGTTCGAATCGATTAAATTACGGTATCCACGAGATCACCTGTCAATACAAAGGAGAAATAATATCTGTGTATAGAAAGATACGAAAGGTAAGTCGACGCGAACGATTCGTTCACTGTGATATTTTTAGTAGGAATAAGAACACTAGTCCTGGAACATTACTTTAACGTTCATTCGCCCGACGATTACGCAATGGAATGACGGAAGTTTCCTTCGTTCGTAATTAAAATCGCTTCTAGGGCATCACAGTTGGAAACATGTATAACGGACGACTATGAAACAGATACTCAAGAGCAATACACATAGAAAACAGAATAATCATCCGACATGCAAGCTAAAGATCATCAGTTATTACTCATGGTGCGTAAAATCTGACCGAAATGTCATCGATGAGGACACGGACAGGAACAGTAATCCCCTGTTAATTCCACCGCGTGTACCTCCACCTGCTGAATTTCAGAATTAGAAGCGGAAGCCTCTAGCCAAGAAAGGCTCACGTGCCTCGCAGTCTTCGGTATGTCATCGAAGAGCTGCAAAACCGTAAAGATCGAGCTTGAGAGAAGGTAAGAATGCGAGGAGTAACGTCCGTGTTTGCAAGCGGATCTGAAGGGAATCGTATTTGATAGGCGATGGAAGATTATCGAGTAATTGGCGCCTACGATTAACGGAGCTGACAACTTCCAGAAGCCGGAAGCCGCTTAATGCAGCCGAGGCTGGCACGCGGTAATGGTGCCGGTGTTAACCAACTTTAATTCCGTTACCGCGTCCCCGCTCGTTCGATCGACTTATAAACGAGTCCATTAGCGGTACAATCAAAAACGCACATTACTCCACCGCGCAGAAATATTTCTTGAAATAACACGCAAATTATTCCAACTAGTTTGGACGAATTGCCTACAGCGTAACGTATAACGAAAGGTCAGTATACGTACGTGAAGTTCGGAGGAAGGGAGCTCCTTGGAAGGGTGAACTACGTACATGGCCAGAGATCTCTCTTGGTTCTTCAACGCCTTGCCTCCCAGGCTAGTGGTCGATTTTATTAAGAAAAGTCAGCGTATACTTTGAGAATAGCGTCTAACGAGGAGTATGACAATTGGTGACCCGTTTTCGCGCGTGACTCTAGATGATAATCGACCTGGTCGCGTGGCCACTTGCTTGCTTAACGAGTCATAGTCGTCGTCATCGTCGTCGTCTTTAAATCCGCCTCGAGGGAGTATGGACCGCGCTTAAACACGAAAGAAAAGCTCGTGCTCCATTTTCCTCCACCTCCCCGGGGTGTTACGTACAGAGGTTTACCTTCCATGGAACGCAACCCATTTCACCCCAAATTACATATCCGCCCCGTAGTAATTAAGAAACGTCCCTTAAGTCGTACTGGACCGAGCTGATTGAACACGGCCAATAGACTACAGTTCCAATTTCGCGAGAAGTTTACCTTCTAACGTGGAACCTTAGTGCCGCAAGGCTCCTTCATGATAAAAGGATACGTCTTGAGTAACTGACCAACATGCTTTCGCTTCCTCTTCTTGAAACTCGCTGCTAGAATTACTAGGGCACCCTTTAAAATGCTTTTAGACTTCTGAAAATGAGTTTTTTCCGGTTTGGTTATACCTGAATGTTCGAAGAAACGTTTTTGGTAACGTTTTTCAATAAATTATACCAATTCCTCGTCTGTTAGCCCAGACAACGACTTCGCGCTTGACGGAAGACCTTCTGCTGGTTTTCGATCTTCGATCCAGTTCAACGGAGTTCCAGCCGCAGAGTACTCTATATACTATAAACCAACGCATGGAGCAAATCAGAATGAGATGGAGAAATTTCGGATTGAGAAACATGGATATAAAAACGCACATGTTTATTCACGAAAGCGTAAAACTCTGCACGCTCTTCGTCCTCCTTATCTAGAACATCCTTTCTCTCCGCATTACATATTTCCTTCTTAATTGTTTTATCAGAATTTGATTCCACATAATCCGCGATACTTTCTATTTTTCTTGAACGAGACTTGTTCGATGAAAGAGTCTTGGATACTTTTAAATCGCTGGACCTCTTCAACTGACACCTCGGAGATTTAACTACTTTTTTATCACCCACTTCTTTCACCTGCTCGGTAGAGTTCGAAGGTAAAAGAAGACTAAGATCTATTGATTTGAAGCTCTGCTCGAATAGATGTCGCAATTCGTTCAAGGTGTTTGCAAACATTACATCTTTATCGTGACGAATACGAGTTACCCTTGGAAATCTAATGCTGATACCGTCAGCCGTATGAATGCCGTGATTCGTGAATTCTGCTCCCGTTATTTCCCACACTGGCTGTTTCTGAAATTTCCAAACATAAAAAGACCGCCGTTACGTCTCCTTTCACCTGCGACTAGAAATACAGTGGAAATACCTTGATAACTCGAGACCTCAAGGGAAGGGAAAAATCTTCGAGTTATAGAGGTTTCAACTTATCGAGTTTTCGAGTAAGAGATGTCATTAGTGTAGGAACCGAGGAAAAAATTGAGGAATCCAATGGGAATCGAACACCTGCGACCTCCAGCTGGCAAGCCGAGACTTTGCGCACTACGCCAATAATGCCCTCCTCTATTTTTCCTCGTTGGTTGCCTATTTGGGTATGATCTAGTTTTTACTGTTTCAATTATGTTAATTTATCAGCCAATGTTAATGTTCTCCGCTTGCGTTCAGAATTCATTCTGTTACATATAATCCGGAAAAAAGAATGAGAAACGATAGAACTATGCTTTAACTTATTCCTTCAATCTTTCACAGCACACTGCTTTCGTGATGAAAACGTATGCACTGTTTATCTCTATAAAGAAATAAACAATTGACGATCGTTGAACCGTTGATCCTATTGAATCGATTAACTGGTATGTAGAAATTAACTTCGTCTTGTAGAGGATGGAGTTCTTCTGAATTCGAGTTGTAGAGGTAAAATACATATTAAACATGTGACAAATAATTCGAGTTAACGCAGGTTTTATTTCGAGTTGTAGAGGTTTTTACATCGGAGCGGAAGGGAATAAAGAAAATTTTCGTCCTATAGAGGTTTTCGAATTATCGAGGTTCCACTGTACATACCTTTGGATCCCTCGCTACAAAATCTGGAATCATCGGTTTGTTAACTCGTAACCAGGAGGGCACTTTTGATGGGTCTTTGCCTATCTTCACCATGTCAAGTTCATCCTGAAGCATCGCCAGAGTAACGTCGTCGTGACCTATGTGTACCTGTACAATCAATCCGATCTGTATAATAATCTAATTACTAATATTTCACGCTCAATCTATTCTTGAAAATTACACGACTATTTACTTTCGTTACTGTTACCCAGTTGCCGTGATCTTCGTCGTAACAACCCATCAGGAAGATGGACATCATGCCGCCTGAACAAATAGGATTCATAAAAGCAAAAATTAAGCGTAAACAAATTGTATGAAATAATTAAAAAGAAAAAATCACAACTTGTTAAATGGTAGAGAGACAGATAACACCACAGACGACGGACGGAATAGCCGGAATACACGGTGCGTACAAAAAGTTCGCAGACTGATTTTTGTGAAGACGTATTAGTCACATCATCTATAAAATTACAATGGAACTAAATAAAACAAACTTCTCTGAGTTCCCTATAATATTTGTGGTTTACGATATTCATTTGTTCGTTAGTAATGCGTAGTAAAATATTGTTTGGTTTTTATGCATTGTCACGTTTCTAAGTATGGAGCAACAGGCCCCTATTAAGTTCGTTTTCAAAAGTGAAACATATAAATTGATGCAAAAAGCATACGGGCATGATTGTCTAAGTCGTGCAGCAGTTTTTCTGTGGTTTAGACGTTTCAAGGAAGGTCGTCAGTCCCTTGAAGACGACAAGAGAGAAGGACGTCCCTCGACATCCTGCACCGAGGCGAATGTGGAGTCTGTTCGTTTCCTACTGGCGAATGACCTATGTCTAACAATAAGACTGATAGCTGACGAGTTGAGACGTCATGGATCGACTTTTGAAACGAATTCGATGTGTCCGTCCCGAGCATTACCGATCTAGTAAATGGTTCCACCTTCACGACAATGCACCTGCGCATTCGTCGATCATCGTCATCCAAATTTTGTGGCTGAAAAAAGTGTGACCATTATCACTCATCCGCCATATTCGCCAGATTTGGCACCTGCCGACTTCTTTTTATTCCTCAAGATTAAATTGCCAATGAAAGGGACTTGTTACGAAGATGTGAGGACAATTCAATACGCCGTGACAGTAGAATTAAATGCGATAACTCACGAGGTGTTTCCCAAGGCCTACCAACGACTCT